AAGTTTCCTGAAATACCAAAAAAAAACCCAAAGAACCACTAAGTTACAAGACATTTGTCACACTGTGTCACATTTGTAGTTTAACAGCTTTAAAGATGGACCTCTTTGAATCTGAACTTCTACTGTCATTAAAACTTATCTGACCTCCCTCATAATTTACCATGATTGTGAAAATTAAAAATGTTTATTTTAAGCTTTTTTGTATTTTTTTATCAATCAATATTACCCATCAGTTATAAAAAACTAAAAACTGAATTCTGCCAAGCCTATTGATAAGCCACTAGAGCAGCAGGGTTGAAGCGTGTCGGGGTTGGGGGAGGGCAGAGCTTATCCCCACCAGAGTTATCTCCTAGTTTAAGGGCCTGAAACCTGTAAGTCAAAATCACACATTGTCCTCACACTAACAGCAGGAACTCCAGTGACTTCCAGAGGATGAATGAGGTTTGCAGGATATGGAATTAAGTCAGAGATGCGAGTAACAGAAAGGAGTTTCCTTATTCTTCATGCAGTATAGAAATGTGCACAGAGGTTTGCCCAACAGCCTAGCCAAGCCCTTGTCCCAAGGAATTTCAGGATTCTGTTAAGTAGAACTGGTGGAAACAGAAACCGTTACAAACAGAAAGCCTGAGGTTGGGGATAGGTGATCAGGGATTGAACGAACGGGAGGCGGGTTTCTAGGTGGTCACAGCAGGCAGGCAGCACCTACTTAATGGTGAATCTGCCTTTAAATCTCTGGAGCCTCTGTGCTGGAAACATCCATGGGACAGGGCACAGTACAGGGAGTCAGCTTTCTACTCCCCTACCCACTGTGGCCCCCATTGCCACTCCTGATCCGATGGGGGAGGGAGGCACATGGGGGAGCTAATCCCGCACCCATTGATCTCCTCGGCACCCGCCTGCCTGACTTTGGGGAGGCAGCCCCTGGGACCAAGCGAGTGAAACTTCCGAGCCCGGGAGCAGAGAGGACCCTTATCTGCTGACCATGTGTGTGTGGGGACAATTTAAAGGTTCCCTTCCAACAGCTCAAGCCGCACACGCCCCTCTCTTGGCAGCCTCCTCCTTACCCTCAGTTCCCCTAGGACAAAGCAGCTGTTCCTCCCCTACCTCTCCCTGCGGAGCTAAAGCAGCAGCCCCTCCCTGCAGCTCCCAGCTCTTTGGTGCCTGTGCTGTTTGTTTACCTCTACGTCCCTGGCTCCAGCAAGTGCTCTGCAGGGAGCAGGGGGCTCGGCAGGCAAACCCTGTAGGTGTCACCCAGGGAAGAGGGGTTTGGCAGGCAAACCCTGACAGAAAACTGAGGGGGGGTTATGTGGCCCTGTGTGCCCCTCTGTGTGTCATCTCTCTGCAGGAGGATGGGAGCAGGGTGCAGTGTCTCCAGTTAGCATGGTGTTCACCTCTGTGGAGCCAAGTGTGTGCTCCGCTACCCGCCGGCAATGCTGGGGGAAAGACAAAGCCCTTTCATGGACAAGTATGAGGCTCTCAGGGGACGATAGTGCACGTCCACCCCCACCACAACCTAGATAGCAGGGAAACTTCAAGCCCCCAGCCAGGACACAGAGCTGCTGGCACGCACACCCCTCCTCACAGAATAGAATATTAGGGTTGGAAGAGACCTCAGGAGGTCATCTAGTCCAATCCCCTGCTCAAAGGAGGACCAACACCTACTAAATCATCCCAGCCAGGGCTTTGTCAAGCCAGGCCTTAAATACCTCTAAGAATGGAGTTTCCACCACCTCCCTAGGGAACGCATTCCAGTGCTTCACCACCCTCCTAGTGAAATAGTGTTTCCTAATATCCAACCTGGACCTCCCACACTGCAACTTGAGACCATTGCTTCTTTTTCTGTCATCTGCCACCACTGAGAACAGACGAGCTCCATCCTCTTTGGAAATCCCTTCAGGTAACTGAAGGCTGCTATCAAATCCCCCCTCACTTTTCACTTCTGCAGACTAAATAACCTCAGTTCCCTCAGCCTCTCCTCAAAAGTCATGTGCCCCAGCAACCTGGTCATTTTTGTTGCCCTCCGTTGGACTCTCTCCAATTTGTCCACATTCCTTCTGTAGTGGGGGGACCAAAACTGGACACAATACTCCAGGTGTGGCCTCACCAGTGCCAAATAGAGGGGAATAATCACTTCCCTCGATCTGCTGACAATGCTCCTACTAATACAGCCCAAAATGCTGTTAGCCTTCTTGGCAACAAGGGCACACTGCTGACTCATATCCAGCTTCTCATCCACTGTAATCCCCAGATGCTTTTCTGCAGAACTGCCACTTAGCCTGTCGGTCCCCAGCCTGTAGTGGTGCATGGGATTCTTCCTTCCTAAGTGCAAAACTCTGCACTTGTCCTTGTTGAACTTATCAGATTTCTTTTGGCCAAATCCTCCAATTGTCTAGGTCACTCTGGATCCTATCCCTACCCTCCAGCATATCTACCTCTCCCCCAGTTTAGTGTCATGTGCAAATTGGCTAAGGGTGCAATTAATCCCATCATCGAGATCAGTAATGAAGATGTTGAACAAAACCAACCCCAGGACTGACCCCTGGGGCACTCTATCACAGTGGATAGATATCTGGCTGGATTGTTGGGCTCAATGGGTAGTGATCAATGGCTCGATGTCTAGTTGGCAGCCAGTATCAAGCAAAGTTCTGTCCTTGACTCCGTGGGTCCTGCATTTCCTGACAGATTTTTGCTAGCCTCATAGGCTCACTGTGACCTTCCACATAGCCCTTCTCTCTCTAGAGGCAAGGGTCACATTCTACTGAGCCATTTTTACCATAAGCCAGCAAGGGAGGTCATACATCAGCAGATACCAGTCCAACCATTTCTTTCATTTGATCTTTGGAATGTCATATCCGAATTTTTCATTTTTTAACTTCAAAGCAGTTCACCTCAATTAGAAACCAAGTATTTTCCACTATTTCCACCTTTGAAAACACTACCATTATTTATCTGATCCTTTTTATTAGGACTTAATTGGACAATAGCTTGTTTAGCCTTGTCCATGTAATTCATAATTTGAATGAGGTGTGTTTCCTTTTGAGTTAATAATTGTTTTAATTGTAGTCCCAGAGGGGAAATATATACCAGAAATAGTGGAGTGTTTTGGACAATCATTAGGTGGGGGAGATCATTCCCCGCTGGTGTTATCGAGACCGGTGATCTGCTAGGTCACTCCAATCCTTGATTCTGGAAGCCAGCCTTAAGCCTGCTCTGCTGTGAGATCCCCCACTCCTGGGCTGTTCACGCATAGCCTCTACTTTGTAAGCTGCTCCTTGCATTATTCAACTGAATGACACTAGCCAATATCTCTGGTTCCGAACATAACGCTAGGAACCTCCATTTTGCAGTGTCCAGTTATTCCCGCTGGATACTGCAAATTTATATGAGTTCATCAATTAAAAAAAGAAATTGATATGTACCAGACCTGTTATCCCAAGGGGAGTCTATGACATGCTTCAAATCAAACGCACTGCTTCAGGTAGAATAAACAAACAAATTTATTAACTACAAAGATAGATTTTAAGTGAGTATAAGTCAAAACATAACAAGTCAGATTTGGTCAAATGAAATAAAAGCAAAATGCATTCTAAGCTGATCTTAACACTTTCAGTGCCCTTACAAATGTAAATGCTTCACACCACAGGCTGGTTGCCCTTCAGCCAGGCTGTCCCCTTTGATCATTCATTTTAATAAAGAACTTAACATTCTGATAATGTCCTCAGCATAAGTCTCCTTGCCCCACACACCACGAGGGTCTGCTCACGTCGTTGAACTCTGAGTTTTCTATCCCTGTAGCCTGAATTGGGACAAGAACCTAAATATCTTCTCATCAGATCATTGGTGAGCCATAACTAACTAGCCCATAAATCCAGGTCAACAATATACAAACTAACACGAAGAATGTTTTCTAAAAGTTCCTCTTGCATCTTGTTGCACAGTTTTGTTTTTATCAAGTCTATCTGAGAAAACAGTCTTTCATCTGCAGCATTGTTAACAGGTAGTGACAGAAACAAAAGAGCAAATAAGCAAAGTTCACTAGAGTCTTTGTCCTCAGCAGCATCCGTGTGTTCGAAAACTTCAACCCAAACATGCTCAACTTGACTGTCCTGAGTATGAGGCCAGTGAACCATCAGCAAAACTCTCCACTGCTGCTCCAACTGTCCGAAGTTTCCACAAAACAATGGCAAAAATGAGAGATTGCCTAATCTAGGTCACGAAAGATTTAGTACTGCAAACAATTCAATCACCTGGATGTTTGGTGGCAATCCCTGTTTCATCTGTTTCACAAACTCCAAGATGAAATCTCGACACCTACTCTTGACATCTTTGACAACAGGAATGGGTAGTGTGTGTTTTGAAAACTGCACCTAAAAGCGACTTCAAAATCGACTGCGCAAAGCGGTAAGTAATTTGACACAAAGGTGATATTGTAGTTTAACACAGCAGTCCCATTCTCAAAAATGCAGTTTCACATCTCTCACCAATAAGCTTTAGTAAAATGTCCTCAATTCCTGCAGCAGCTTTTGTGTATTAGCACTTTCAAACTGAAAGACTTGCTTTATCATCCAGGCTTCCTGAAGTATTGGACCTACAAAAATCAGGTACATTTTGTTCAGCAGATTTTATTTGTCTTGGCTATCAGAAAGTGTAGCTTCCGTTTGTCACACAGGGACTAATGGAAAGCCACCTTGCTTCAGAAAGCTGCAGTATTTTCTTGTGGTCTGGAAGTATTGGAAAGTGTGCATGAGAGAGTGTCTAGGGTTTGAGGCTGATGGGTGACATTGAAAGAGTTCAAGTGATGGTCAGAGAGAGGGAACTCAGCAACGGAGAGAGCAGTGCTTGGTGATGGAGTGATAAGACATTAGGTGTGAGGAGCTTCTAAGACTGTGAACTTCCAAAATGCTGAGCTCAGCCAAAATGGGACAGAGCACCCTTGATTAATGAGGAGAAATCCTTTCCCAATCTTGTCAGACAGGATTAAAGTCAATGACCCCTGGTGATCATATTCTGCAGATGTATTTGACCACTTTGTCACGAAGCTCTTTGGTTTTGACCCCATAAATGACAGGGTTGAGCATGGGGGGGATGAGGAAATTGATGTTTGCCAAGATAATGTCAACATGGAGAGCGATGCCCTGACCAAACTGCTGTGTTAGAGAGGAGAAGACGGAGGGAGAATAAGAGGTCAGTATCACACAGATGTGGGCTGTGCAGGTGTTGAGGGCCTTCTGGTGGGCTTTCTTGGAGGAGATTCTGAGGATGGCCCTGACGATCAGACCATAGGACAGGGCAATGAGTGTCAGGTCTGACCCAATGACTACAAACACTATCACCAAGTTGTACGTCATGTGGATTGTGATGTCTGCACACAACATCTTCACCACAGCCATGTGGTCGCAGTACGTGTGGGGGATAATGCGGTTGGCACAGAATGGCTGCCTGCTGAGGAGCAGGAGCGCAGGCAGAACAAAGAGAACAGCTCTTATCAAACCCACTAGCCCTAGCTTAGCTATTCGTGCATTGGTGAGGATGGTGTCATATCTCAGAGGGTTACATATGGCAATGTAGCGATCGAAGGCCATTGTCACAAGGACGGCTGAGTGCATAACACCAACCGCGTGAAGGAAGAACATCTGTGTGAGGCAGCCACCCACAGTAATGCCTTTCAAATTGAACCAAAATATAAACAGAGCCTTCGGCACGACGGAGGTAGACGTGCCAATGTCTGTGAGCGCCAGCATGCAGAACAGCAGATACATTGGCTTGTGCAGGGTCTGCTCTCTGCCTACAACAAACAGAATAGTGAGATTTCCCAACAGGCCAATAAGGTAGAACACAGAAAAAGGGATGGCAATCAGGACATGGGCCGCTTCCAGGCCAGGGATGCCCATTAGGATGAATGTTGAAGGGTCAGAGGTGGTGAGGTTGAAAGATGCCATGAGGTGGTCAGGCTCAGAAATGCTCCAGGTGTCTGCGAAGGGAGAGAAACACAGTGATGGGGATTACACATGTAGTAACAAATAGTACAGTAAATATTCCCGGCCAATGGGAGTGCAGAGCTGGTGCTCGGGGCGGGGGCAGCACACGGAGCCCCATGGCCCCCCTGTCTAGAAGCCGGACCCACTGGTTTAACATCTTTGCCCGTGGTTTAATGTCTGTGTCCCTGTGGCCCACTGTTCCAGGAAGCTGCCAGTGGCTCCTGCACATGGCAGCTGTATTTATCTAGTCCCTCACATGTTCCAGGGTTACCCGCTCTCATTATATAATGTGCAAACTTCTCAGCTTGCTAATCATTCCTGTGTAGCAGTCCCCAAAGCCACACAAACTGTGCATGGGTATAACAAGAGCATTTACCTCTCTCTGTGTGAGATTTCTCACCAGTGCAACACAGTCACTGATCTGCCACCAGTCAAGGGAGCAGGCATGACAGGAGGCACCTCACCCCATGCAGAGGAAGAGCTGTGGGGAGCGTGGGACGGCTTGTAGGTTGTGGGAGCCAGGGATGACTGGACAGCTTGGAGAAGACACTAGCGAGAGCATACCATATATGGACAGTTAAGGTGATGATCAGTTAGAAACAACTGTCAGCTAAGTTAAACTTGGCTACTATGTAAAAGCAAGTGTGTTATTGTTGTACTTCATTTACAATGTGCATAACATTGCTAAACTCTTAAACCAACACAGAGGTAAAAAATCAACAAACGAATGGCAGCAAACAACATGAAGGCTTGGAAAAAACAAATTGGTAAAAAAATTAAGTTACACGGTAATTACAAATTGGGTAAACAAATTCCCTGGTAGTACCAGTCACACTTTGGGGTCAGTGACACTGAGTCCTAATTAAGGCACATGTTATTCAAAACAATCTTGTTCAGTATCTGGGTACCAACACTAAATCCTAACACAGCAATATTTAATAAATTGGTTACTGTCCATTCAGTAGCTTATCTGAAAAACAGCATCCACAAGAAACACCTGGATCTATGTCAGCTACGAGTGTATCACAGCGCAATGCAGCCCATGGTACAGAGAAGCCAGCCGTTCCTCTTTCTTGCCCAGTACAGTTTACCAGAGGGTAACAGCCAGCAATGAGGGTAACCTACAACATGAATGGACAGTACTGTGTAGTAACTAATTGCAAGACGTATAGATATATAAAGGCCTCATTTGTAATGTCACTGCTCCCAATTTCTGTTTTACGTCTCCTACACACAGCACTGTGGGACACATTATAAAAAGTCTATCCCAGTATTTCAGAACACTCAGCCTAGTACCAATAATAATCCAGGTGGTAACTGTAAGTGCCCTGACAGGAGTGTGTCGCTATCTGCAGTACCACAAGCGCCAAACTACGCCACCCAGACTGGAAAAGGATTGTTCTGTTTGGATATAAAGTGCTGTCATATGTACGCATACATATATGCATATATATCCATTTGTAACATAGAAATATATACACCATAGCTATACTATCCATCCATCTTACTTATCTAAATGTGCCCCCAAGGCTCAATCATAAAACTACATTCCTCAGTCATGGTCCCAGGCCTAACATTAGAAACCATTGGAAAATAAAATCTGTCCCTCAGTCGTACGAGGGAATGTGCAGACTAAGGCACAGGTGGGGCATAAGTGTGTGGATGGGACAGTAAGCTGGCCACATAACAGTGTTTAGCCCAGTGGGCCATCTTCAGTCCAGGCATTATGCTTTTCCGAGATGATGAGTAAACAACTAGTGGGGGAATGTAGTAGGAAGAGAGCCTGAAACATAAGCCCTTGTATCAGAGGCCTGGTATGAGGCCTGAGGCCTGGGATAATGTAGGAGTCAAATCTTTATTGATAGAAAGCAAAGACAATCTGTGAGCAAGAGGCAGGCCCTGCTCACAAAATCTGGCAAGAACAGGGCTGATATTGCAGAAATACACATTCCTAACAAGTGCTAGGCACAGAGCACTCGCACAAACACATCCCGATATCAAGTGGTATCAGAACATCCGAATATCAAGGATGCTACAAAAACTTTCCCCAAGGAAAACAGGAACACACTGACCCCTCCTAAAAGATAAGGTCAGGATGACAATACATAAATAGCCACATCAGGGGGCAGTAACTAAGTATGTCAGAGGGACAGTACGTAACTTGTTTGTGTCGGGGTACTAAGATGTATCTCAGATGGAGTGTCTTTGTCTAGCCTAGTGGGGAACGTAGAGTCCTGCCATTCACTGAGCTGGTCCATTCTTATGGGCATACATGTATTAGTGGTCCTGTAGAGTCTGTGGAATACTAGTATTGTGCTTTGTCGACAATAATCCTGGCTGGGAGCCTTCGTACCTTAGCAGATCTTGTGGTCATTGGACTTCAAAGTGAAACAGCAGAACTAAAATTCATTTGCAAATTTAACACCATTAACCTGGGTTTGAATAGGGACTGGGAGTGGCTGGCTCATTACAGAAGCAGCTTTTCCTCTCCTAGAATTGACACCTCCTCATCTATTATTGGGAGTGGACTACATCCACCCTGATTGAATTGGCCCTGTCAACACTGGTTCTCCACTTGCGAAGTAACTCCCTGCTCTCCATGTGTCAGTATATAATGCCTGCAGCTGTAACTTTCACTCCATGCATCTGAAGAAGTGAGGTTTTTACCCATGAAAGCTTATGCCCAAATAAATCTGTTAGTCTGTATCTACAAAAACCTCAAGGAGTCTGGTGGCACCTTAAAGACTAACACGGCTACCCCCTGATACTTGTTATCCTGATTGTTTTCAACCCAAAACCTGTGAGTTTGAGATTTCAGCAACTCTCCTGTCAGTTCTTCTTTGGTCCGAGCGAGCTCACCCATCCATAGAGGCCACAGGAAAACTCCAGTTGAAGTCACTGGAGGCTCATGGCCGGTGTAAATCAGGCCATTTATTTAAGTACCTACATGTGGATTTAGGGTGAATCCCTGGCCGTGTTGGAAGTTTTGCCCCAGAACTCCATGGGACTAAGATTTCACCCTTAGTGTTTAAGTTTCAGCTCCGATCTGTGAAAATCATGGCTTCACGTCCTGCTACAGAGAGCGTTGTTCTATATGGCACTGAAAGAGTCGGAAGGAAACCCCCAGTTCATGTGGCGCTCTGAGACCCGGCAAGAAAGTTGGGGATTTCAAAACACATGGGCCCGGATATTTCTCTCAGGGAGGCCAGTGTCAATCTGGAGTGACCCAGTGAAGGCAGAATGTGAGAGCAGAATCTGGTCAGTGTGTGGCCTTTTATTGTTGTGATCCCTCTGGTAACACAAATACCCACTGCAGAGGCTTTGGCCGCACTATTTAACAGGGCTGTGAAATTGCTGAATTGGAAAACTTGAGTGAACCAGAGGAAAATCCACATAAAGCACAAAAAGGAATCTACTGAGACAGATAGACGGACACAGTAACACACAAGGAACTTATCTTAACAACAAATATTTGTCTAAACTATTTCCAGTATATTTATAATTCCAGTTTGACCAGGTCAATCCCCTGGTGTTTCTGACAATACTAAACAGTTCAAGTCGCCGTGCTGGTGAATTCCTGCCGTTTTTTACTTGAACCCTTGAACTCTTCCTGAGCCCTTAGTACTAACTTTAGTGCAGGAACTGGTAACTCACCGAAATCCTGCTCAGCACAGAGAGGAAATCTCCTTACGGCGACAGAAAGGCAGAGCCCCAAGAATCAGTGTATGAATCTCAAGTGTCTCACAGTCTCTGTGCTGGACAGCGACCTTTATCATTCCCCTGTACAGTCCCTGCAGACTCTCAGGTTGGCCTGGACTCCAAGATTATTCCCTTGGGTCCCGGAGCAGTGGGAAGAGCAGAAAATAGACCCTAGAGAACTTCAGCCTGAGAGCCTCCCCCAGGAGTGAAGAAATGATTTTGGCTTGTTTATATTCACTGTGGAACAAAGTGATGCTGCCTCCATGGCTGAATCTGCCCGGCAACTAATGATGATATCTCAGTCCTTCTCCCCCAGCCAATGAGAGCTGCGGGGAGCGGTGCCTACAGCAGACATTGCTGGCAGCATCTGCCTGTGTTTCTCCTCTGCAACCCACAGTGGGGAGGTTCTCGGGCTGCAGATGGCCCACGGGCCGGGACTTTGAGACCCCTGGCTTAGATGTACATATTTATCTATCAGCATTTCCGTTCTGCTGCCCATCGTCATAGAATCTGATCATTTTCTCCTCCCCTCCCGGCTGACGAGCCCTGCGCTGAATCCCTGAAAACACAACATGCACATGGAAATGCTTTGGCTCATCCTTGTTTCTAACACGGAGTAATAGCCCCTCCCATCTGATTCCCCCTGCTTAGTCATATACCCCCCATAGGGCGATATCGTGCCATGGGCAGGAGCAGCTTCCAGAGACCCTTCAGTGATCAGTATGTGCCCTGAAGCCTGGGGACTGCTAGAGTCACTGCACAGGCTGTAATTAGGATAGGGAAGGTGGAGGAAGATGTTCAGAGGCACGGATGTGAGTTAGGTTCCCAATGTGCATCCGCATTCAGTGGGACTCTGGAACTATCCTGTGGAATTCTTTGCCAGAGGATGTTGTGAAGGCCAAGACTGTAATAGATTGTCAAAGGCACAAGGGCAGTAGGCACCAAAGAGTTCTTGGCGCTTAGGTCCATCAATGACTATTAATCAGGATGGGCAGGGATGGTGTCCCTAGCCTCTGTTTGCCAGAACTTGGGAAGGGGCGACAGGGGATGGATCACTTCATGATTACCTGTTCTTTTCATTCCCTATGAACCACCTGGCATTGGCCACTGTAAGAAGACAGGATACTGGGATAGATGGACCATGCATCTGACCCAGGATGGCCATTCTTATGTTCTTATAAAGGGCAAAATGTTTAGGAGTTCCATTGTCACAGGTTTTCCGTACCCCTCTAGAGTCACACCATGATGGAAGGTATTTCCCGAGCCAGATCCTGTGGAGAATATTTAGCTAATG